GGGAAAGTCACTCACTTTGCACTTCCCTCCTCCTCCAGGTGCTCCCTTGACACTTCTCAGGGAGCAGCTCTCCCCCCCAGGAAGATGCGTGAGCAGGCTCCACTGGTCCTGGGCCCCATGACTGCCCTGGGACCCTCGGTGGAAAGCGCCATTTCGTCCCTGGTTTCAGGAGCATGGCTAAAGGAAGCCGATCTGTCACACGGCACCATCTTCTTTCTAGGTCTCAGTCCTTGGATGGGCTCTGAGATTACCTGGAACTGAAAGACTGCCTAGCTGCCCCTCAATCTCAGACTGAAGAGACGGGAGGGGTAGCTAGAGAGGAGGTCAAGGCCGGTGTGTTCCAGCCTGCACGGGTTGAGTCCGTCTTTGCCTCTTGGGGACTCCTCCCATCAGCAGAGGCCTTGTCGGGTCACTGTCCCTGTCCCAGGCAGATGGGGTTGGCCCTGAGGGAGGTCCCCGGCATGGGGACGGGGGATGAGAGCGAGGTTGCAGCTCTTCTGGACCTCACGATTCACACGTGGTTCAGGATCAGTCCAGACCCCTGGACTGCCGCGAGTGCGTCAGTGTAGAGGTGAGGGGAAGTGAGGGGGCATCGTTCTGGCATCGGGACTGGCTTTGGCAGGGGTCGTGCGGCTTGGGATCAGGGAACCACATAGCTGAGGGAGGGGCATGTAAGCCACAGGATGAGACCTCATATCTTTAGATTCCCAGGCCAGTGCTTTGTCTCCTATGCAGCAAAACTCCTGTTTGGCAAAAATCCTTTTGGAAATCAATTTTCTATGTGTTTGTGTGGCTGTGTCTTGGAAGTTTCTCAGCTAGCATTACCAGGAAGAAACTTACTTTTTTCCTGTTATTTTGAATGTTAGGCTTAAGTTCTGAAGGACAGGTTCCTAGACGCAATCAGAAGCCTGAACTTTCTGCTGCCTCAGAAGTGATCTGGGTCTGGAGTGGGTTGGGGATGGCCTCAGCCTTGTCCCCTGACTGACCTTGGGGCAGGTGCAGTGCTGACCTTGGCCAGCAGAGGGCGCCTGAGCTTGAGAATCAGGGAGGGGTGTTGAAGACATAGCCCTTCCCTGCTGAAGGGATCCCTGACATGTGGATGAGACTCAGGTTGTGTCTGCTCCTGGGCATGGTCCATGCTGTGGAAGGAGCCCAGGCTGACACCTCTGCACGCTGAGTGGGATAGACACAGGCCTAAGCCATGGGGCTGTTGACTACCCTGATCCCTAGGAGCTCTTGGCTCCGTGCTGGTGGACCTGTAGGGCTCTTCACTGTGACCACCATCCCATCCTCACACCTTCCTCATCTGGGTTAGGAGTCCTCTTGAGGCCCCCTGCAGATGGTAACAGCCTGCGGTTCTGTGGTTCAACACCTTTTCTTATGTTCTTCCATTCCTTCTCTCTCTTTGTTATCCAAACAGCTGATATTTAGGGAAAAAGGCACAGAGCTAGAAGCTGTGGGTACAGCCAAGGATGGGTAAGACCTCATTCGGTCCCTGTAGTCTGGGGTCATCAGGAGGTACACTCATCAGAGAGAGAGAGGGAGGGAGGGAGGGAGGGAGGGGGGGATTGAGGAAGGGACGGGTAGGGGAGGAAGAGGAGAGAGAGATTTCATTTGGGTGGATGGAGACTGAAGCAGGTGGCATCTGATTCTGGCTCTCAAAGATTCGACTGGAGGAGGTGGAGTCTGGAGGAGGAGATTACTGATTAATGACATGTGCTAAGCCAAGGTGCTGGCACTGCAAAGCATACAGCACAGAGAGTGCGTGGTGAATAGTGCTGTTGACTAGAATCTGGGGTTCAGGTTGGTGACTAGTGGAGCTGAAGTTGCATAGTTGTGGCTGAGGTCACGTGATGAAGGGCCTTTGAATGTTCTTTCCATAACGTGAGCCTGAGGGAGAGGAGAGCTTGAAGGACCTGAGCAAAAAGAAGGATGGAGTGGGGATGGATTTAGTAATATGGGAGGTGAGGTCATCTTTTATAGGTGGGGGAAGGTGGAGAGGCAGAGAGGTTTGAGGTGGGTGGAAGGCTTAGGGATAGGAGTTACAGTGGGGTTTAGGAAGAGATGATAGAGTTGTA